AGAAGATCTACTACAGGCTATTGCACATTTCTTGGAGGAAATCTTGTGACATGGAAGAGTAAAAAGCAGACGGTTGTAGCCAGAAGTAGTGCTGAAGCCGAATATAGGGCCATGGCTCACACTACCTGTGAATTAGTGTGGTTGAGGAATCTCCTACAAGAAATTGGGTTTCACATGGATAAACCTAATAGATTGTACTGTGACAACCAAGCTGCACTCCATATTTCATCCAATCCTGTCTTTCATGAGAGAACAAAGCACATAGAGGTTGATTGCCACTTTGTGAGAGAGAAGGTTTTTGTTGGAGTGATAAATACAGAACATGTGGGCTCAAATGACCAGTGGGCAGATTTGTTTACAAAAGCTCTAAGCTCAGGGAAAGTGAACTATCTATTAACAAGCTGGGATTATATGACATATATTCTCCAGCTTGAGGGGGAGTGTTAAAGTGTGCCGAATAGGGGTAGGTTAGTCTTCTTATGTTTGTTAAGTAGCTTGCTTATGTGGCAGTGTTATTAGAGACTCTGCCCCACACTTAAGTAAGGGCATTTTTGTCTTTGTAAAGATTATTAGAGTCTAATATAGATTAAGGGAGTCGACTGTATGTGTAATCCATCAGATTTCGACAGACCCTTCTTCTTCTTCTTCTCTTCTTCTTCTTCTTCTTCTCTTCCTGGTTCGGACTACTGTAGCACCAGTCGAACACTTCATTTATCAAAAAAGCAAAAAAAAAAGGTAAATTAGACTCTTACCATAAGTGCGATTGGCAATTACAACTCTTGCTCCCTTTTCTTTTGCACCATAAGCTAGTGACTTACCGGCACCACCAGCTCCAATGACTACAAAGAGCTTACCAGCTAAAGGTGAACTGACTGTATTGTGTATATCATGTGAACCTGCAAAAGAAAAGAGTGAATTCCAGAACAAATTAAATGATGACATTTATAGTTTTAAAAAGTCTGGACGGGTTTGTAGAATGTGTTAAAAACCTCTTAGTCCATGCTCAATAGCTGAAATAGCTCCAATATAGTCACAATTGTAACCAGATAACTTTCCATCACTTGGATTCCTAATAATCATATTAACAGCTCCTATGGACTACCAAGGTTTGATCAAGATACATTAGTCAAGAATTATATCAATAGGATAAAAAAGAAATTCCTTTCAAGATTTAATCAATTTGAAGCTCCAGATAGCTAACCATAAAAGTACAATGTGAAAATATCAAATACCTTGGCAATTGGATCAACCTCATCACAGCGTTCAAGTGCAGCTTCCTTGTGTGGAATTGTACAACTGCAGTTCAAACAGAGTAGTATCAGAGTTTTTTTTTCCTTTTTTGTGTGTGTATGTTCAATGGGTGAGGTAATGTTAATAGTGATAGTTCATTGATTAAGGTCATGTTAATCCTCATTTTCTGCAAAATATATTTTGTGATAAATATTCTGCAACCATTACTTTGATTGGTTAATCCGCCACCATTTATCTGGATTAAACCTAAAAAGCAAATTCATTTTGTGAGTATAGATAACCAAGCATGTGCATCATGTAAAATTACACATAAGAACAGATAAAGCATCATATTTCATAACTTTAATCAGGAATCCATAAAGAATTATTGTTTTGGAATCAAATCAATCCACAGAAATTGTGCCAAATGCAACACAACACATGCATAGAATTCAATCCCTCCAGTGGAAAGAAGGAAGTGCAACAAACTTGTAAAACGTAGTTCATAGTGAGTATTTTTGTAAGGAGATTGAACCTGAACCCAACAAAATCAGGGGATGAGTAGGCGTCAAAAAATTTTGCTACATCATCGACCAAAAAGGGCACATAAACACCATTAAAACCAATTGACTTAAATGCTGTGTTGTACAAAAGAGGCCCTTTGCTGTGACCTACAGGATTCCCAATAAGACCAAATACTTTTGTGTCAGGTCCCAACTGTCTGAAATTGTAGAAATTCAGCAATTCTTTGATTGTTGGTTGTGCTGGAGCTGATAACTTTCCAGCCTCAAGTGTTCCGAAAGTGAGATATCCACCAAACTTGGGGCATAGTACCCGTGAAATTAAACCCCTCTCGCCCATAACCAGTCCTATTATTGGAACCTGAAATTTCATGTAATGTATCATATGCATCTGCAAAAAAGATTCGAACCTGAAATTTCATGTAATGCACATGCATCTGAAAAATAACTTTGATCATGAATGATGGAAAATGGAATATGTGAAGAGGTTTTGGCCAGACCTTGAAAAACATAGAAATGACAATTTTTTCTGTGGTTCCATAAAAATCAATAGTGACAGACTGATTGCAGAATATGCTCTCTTTCTTGAAAGTAAATGTTGCAAGAGCATATTTTCTATTATATATAAGATGAATAAACTTGCAGCTAAACTTCTAAAGAAAGCCTAAGTCTCCAGTAGTAGGTCATATTTCAACTTTACCTGTAATTAGCGTGCAAGATAATATGGTAAAATTATATCTATTAACAAACATGTTGAAGAAAGATCCCAATGAGGAACATATTTTAACAAGAGATGGAAAACAAACCCTAGCATTCTATTTTCCTATCAATAGGAAAAGCACAAGCACAAAATCTGAAAAGAGGATAACTATGAAAAGATAATATGACAAAATTATATCTATTAATAAATCATGTTGAAGAAAGATCCCAATGAGGAATATATTTTAACAAGAGATGGAAAACAAAATCTACCATTCTAATTTTCCTATCAATTGGAAAAGCACAAGCACAAAATCTGAAAAGAGGATAATTATGAAAAGATATATTCTAGCCATCAACACCACCAGAATTAACAAACAATTTTTTTTTTGAGAAAAGGTAATGTAATTTTATTAGACTTCAGAAAAAGTAGAAGTACAACAGAACCCCCAAGGGGAATCCCTTTTGCAAGATTACAAGATTACAAATCAAATAAGCTCCTTGCCCTCAACAAAGCCCTTAGGCCAGAGGTTTGAATCCCTTTTGCAACCGAAACCCAAGAGAAATAAATTACATATTATTAATAATTTAATAACAATCCAACTACACAAATCAATACTGGTCCAACTACACATGAAGAGACTTGGAACACAAAATTGATGTCATTTAAACAAGTGAAAAATCCATTTGAGGGTCTAACACGGATAAAGAGAAACCAACAAAAACAAATATTCCTTTTCCTGGTCCAAGGGAGACTAATATGTCATCAAATTTAAGGGGAATCTTAGGGTTATCCAACTTGAACACTCATTGAGTTTCAAAAACAATATGGGTGTATTGGAGTTAAAATAAAGTTTTAAGGCCTAGATCAGGACAGGCATTATCTTCAAAATCCCCATCTTTGGCAAAATCTCTATGAGGAAAGGAGATCTCAACAGGCATTTACCATCTCAAGAAACCATAAAGAGTACTGTAGGCTCCTAATGGAGATCAAAATCAGTGCAGAAAGATTTCAGGCCTTCTCCTCACAACCCAGAGAACAATAATTCCCTGCTTCCTTACTAGCATGGGGAAGAGGGGGTCCAGATTTGTTGCTAATCTGCTTAGCAGTTGGGGTTCTCCTTTAAATGTGCATCAGATGGTTCAGAATCTCTAGATCAATAAGATGATGCCCTCATTCTTAATGCCACAAGACCTCCAATTAATTCTGTTAGAGTTGACAGTACAGGGGTATTTTGGTCTTTTGTCTATCTAATTAGAAGTGAATGGTCTGTTTTATTCAAGTTTAAGTTATGTGTCCCATCTCTCGTAAGGGACAATACTGTCTTTTGTAATTCAACTTATTCATTAGAAATACCAAGTGGATCGGCCAGGTAGAGTGACTTCGAACCTAGAACTGAATAGGATTAATCTACCTATTTACATGGTATTAGAGCAATAAGAAACCAGTTCTACTTTTTTTCTCATCACCCTTCGTCTTCCTGGGATCGCCGCCAGCCATATCAGTTTTTTTTGTATCTCCTAGACAGATTGGAAGTTTGATAAAGGGCCAAAAAGGAGTGGTCTTTTTTGTTCTTGGAGGTAAATATGCCTCCGGTTGTTGTGGTGGTGTACTAGATACCCTCTATTCGATGGTACGAAGAGGGCTGGTTGTGGACAGGTGTGAACAGAAATATTTATTTGACTAGTAGTGGACTGCGGCTGCCTTCTTTTGGTCTGGATTTCATTTATGTGGCAGTGTGAATTGATAGGTATGCATATAAGCCTCTGTTCCTTCTGTTTATACCTGGATATGTGAGTTGAAAGTAGGGTTTTCGAATGCTGAATTCATGACAGCAGTAGTGTGGTCATAATTATAGTCTGTTGAGTAGTGTGTGGTGTGTGGTGCTGAATAGTAGAAGGTGACTACTTTGTTTATAATAGTGATTCCTTTGTGAAGTGAGGTGAACCAGTTAAGATGGCATCAATTGGAGATGGGAGTGACAATAAAACAGGTGTTATGATTTCTCCATATTACTTAAATGTTCAAATGACATTTATTAAGTTGAATAGTGAGAACTATGTGCCGTGGACCAAATCTGTGGAAGTGTTTTTAAATGACAAGAAAAAGGTAAAACATGTGAGAGAGGAGAAATCCCCCTCTAATTCTCTAGGATTCAGTGATTGAGAACAGGAGGATGCACAAATTATAACCTGGTTGTGGAATAGCATGGARCCTAAAATCAGTGTGAATTTTATGTTTCTAGATACAGCTAAAGAAATTTAGGACCATGCTAAGAAACTGTATTCCGGCCAAGATAATACCACTAGGGTATATCAGCTTTACTAAGAGTACTTTAATCTGAAGCAAGGTAACCAAAGCTTGGAGGAATACTATGCAAGCATGAGAAATATCCATAATGAGCTTAATGTATATCATCCTTCGACTCCGAATGTTCAGGTTCAGCAACAACAGCGAGAGCAACTTGATGTGACAAGATTTCTAGTGGGTTTGAAGGCTGAATATGAACCTGTTCAAGCACAAATACTAGGGGGGGTCTGCTCTCCCCTCGCTTGAAGAAGTATTTACCCATCTTCGAAGGATATCTATTGATTCTACAGAGTCTTCTTCTCTCTCGAAAAGATCTGGTTTTGTGGTAACTAAAGTGGGAGGTCGTGGAGATAGAGGTGGTGGAGGTGGTGGAGGTGGTGGCCGTGGGTTTCCAGGGAACCGAGGTGGTCCTACTTTTAATTGTTCTAGTGGCCACAGTGGAGGTCGAGAGTCAGGGGGAGGTTGTGGTAGAGGAAGAAGTAATGCAACTAGAAAATGCACATACTGTGGATTAGAGGGGCACACTGTTAATTTCTACTATGATTTACATGGTTCACCCAACACTTTGGCTAACCATGCTGTGACTAGTGGCAGTGGTACAGTTAGTAAAAATCAACAAACTGATCAAACTCCCTCCATATCTACCAGTGCTTCTGGGAAAGAGATGGTGAGTGTACCACATGAGGTGTATGAGAAGTTCCGTAAGACATCCTCTCACTAGAACATAGCTACTCTTGCCCACTCAGGAATGACTTGCTTGGCTTCCAAACCTTCACACTGGATCATTGACTCTGGAGCCTCGAATCATATGTCTGGGACTCCAAATATGTTTTCTTCACTTTCTCAGTCTTCTACATCCCAAACAATTACCCTTGCTAGTGGTTCTACCTCTCCCATTTGTGGTGTTGGTGATGTTGATCTTACCTCCTTATCTTTATCCTCTGTTTCATATGTTCCCAAGTTCCCTTTTAACCTTATGCATGTTAGTAGATTAACTAAGTCACTTAATTGTTCTATAACCTTTTGTCCCTCTTCTTGTGTGTTTCAGGATCTCAAGACGGGGATGAAGATTGGTGGAGGGCATGAGATAGGTGGATTGTATTACCTTGATGGTGGTGGCCCGCCAGTAGCATTTCAGTCATCTCTTACTCCTCTCCGATAGCACTGCAGACTTGGTCATCCATCTCTCAAGGCTCTGAAGTTGCTGGTTCCGTCCTTAAGTCATCTTCCATTGTTGGATTGTGAGTCATGTCAGCTTGGGAAACACCATAGAGTCTCTTTTAGCCCAAGAGTTGATAGTCGTGTCTTGAGTCATTTTTCTTTAGTTCATTCAGATGTTTGGGGTCCAAATAAAGTGGTGTCATACAATGGTTATAAGTATTTTGTAATTTTTTTGGATGACTTTTCAAGGATGGCATGGCTCTACCTTATGAAAGATCACGGTGAATTGTTCTTTATTTTTCAAAAAATTTATGCTGAAATACGTACCCAATTTGGAGTTCATATTAAAATTCTCCGCTTCGATAATGCAAAAGAGTACACCTCAACACCATTTCAGCAATACATAGAGCACCGTGCGATAATTCATCAAATCTCTTGTTCCTACACCCCACAACAAAACGGTGTGGCTGAATGGAAAAACTGACACTTACTTGAAACTTCCATTATGCTTAATATGAATGTTCCAAAGCGTTTTTGGAGTGATGTTGTCCTAACATCATGTTTCCTCATCAACCAGATGCCCATGTCTATCCTTAGAAGTCAATCCCCTTTCTCAGTATTGTTTCCCACTCTGTCTCCGTTTCCTCTTACCCTGAGAGTCTTTGGATGTGTTTGTTTTGTCCAAAATTTAGGGCCTGGTTTAGACAAGTTATATGCATGTGCTACTAAATGCATCTTCCTTGGATACTCCAGAACTCAAAAAGGGTATAAGTGCTATATCCCTAACTCTCATAAGTCATTTGTGTGTTCGGATGTCACTTTCTTTGAGTCAGTCCCATTTCTCTCGAGTACTAAGGTCCATTCTCCTTCCCTCGTGGTTCCACTTCTTGTTCCAGTTGAGGACCCCCTTCTCGTGGTTCTTGTTCTGGTTGCGGATCCCCTCCCATGGTTCTTGTTCCCTCCCCTCCCTCTCCCGTACAAGTTACTACTAAGAGGCCACCAATCCGATAAGTGTATACTCACAGAAGAGCACCAGCCCTTCCTCCAGTTCAATCCTCATTGACAGATCCTATGGTTGCACCTCATCCTTCGGACCTTGATCTTCCTATTGCATTGTGGAAAGGTAAACGTAGTTGTACATCTCATCCTATTTCTCATTATGTTTCAGTTGCTCACTGTTTTGGAGCAGC